CGGATGTAGATACTTAAAAATTTCAAGGAACTTTTGGAACATTTGAAATCACAAAATTTTACCAAAATCAACATTTAAAAACTTACGACTTTTCGACTTTATTTACATCTATTCCCCGCGATAAATTAAAGTCCAGGCTTTCAGACATCGTTGACAGCTGCTTTCAATAAACATGGAACTCGAACATTTACTTACAGTCATTGGTCATTTGCAAAATTACTTTGTTAAAAACATTCTGATTGTACACATACTTTAAAGTTGATATTGAAAAGATGTTCGATTTCTGATTGACAATATATATATAGTTTTTGGAGATCAGGTCTTCCCACTATCTATTGGAATTCCCGTGGGTACCAATCACACCCCGTTATTAGCAGACCGACCTATATTTGTATTCATATGAAGCAAAATTTGTTCAAAATCTTTTACATGAAAAGAAGAAAACGCCTGCTGTGGCCTTAAACTCGACCTTTCGATATATCGACGACGTATTGTCAATTAATAATAGTTATTTCCATTCTTATGTCGACAAGATATATCCCGGTGAGCTTGAAATAAAAGATACCACAGAGTATGGCACATTTGTTTCATTTTTAGATATTTTACCAGAAAAAGAGGTTAATGCTTTTTCAACGAAAAAGCTTTATGATAAACGTGATGACTTTAACTTTTCAATCTTCAGCTTCCCTTACTTGTGCGTCAAAATACCTTTGTCAGCCGCATACGGAATTTTATAACTCTCAGTTGATTCTGCGGTGTTCTATGTATGAACATTTTTTTAAAACGAGGTAAGTTATTTACAAACAAGGTAATGAAGCAAGAATATCAACAGTCTCGTTTATAGTCATCATTTCGTAAGTTCTATGGTCGATACAATGGGGTTGTCAGCATCTACAATTTATCATTAAGTCAAATGCTGACTTTTTTCATACTGATTGCTAAGCCATTATTTACACACTGAGTTGTCCACGGATATTTTCCGTCATTTCCTTATTATGACAAGGAGAACACGGCAGTTGTGACCAGTCGGCAGGTGATGCTCACTCCTCCACGGCACAAGATCCCACCTCTGATGTTTTGGAGGCCCATGTTTGCTCCAATGCTATTTTGTAATGTTTCATCAACTTTTCAGCTCAAATGTTCGCTATCTCCTCATATTTCATATTAATTTCGAGGTGAATGCCACAACAAGTGTTTTCTTCTGTTCAAGCATAAGATTTTGGACAATTTCTGCTTCAAATGAATACAAAACTAGGTCTGCTTATAAGGGGGTGCAATCGGTGCCCATGGAAATTTCATTATATTGCTGAAAGACCTGTCATCCGTTTCCGAGACAGAAGACGGTGAGTAGGGTCACACCTTTACAAGATTGTGTTAAGGGGGCCGACTATAGTTTTATTGTGTGAAAATTACAATAGCGAATCTCTTCATTTTTATACCATATATGACTTACATTAACTTTAGTGTACATGCAAAGTTTGAGGGAAATCTACCGTCCAGGTATTTTTAAGGGACCGTCTCAAAATACAGGTACATTTACTATAGGATTATATAGGAAAATGCCAATTTTTAGCACTTTAGAGCAAATTATACAAATACAACAATAGACATTTTGTTCAAACTATAATATTTGATAAGGAAAACTATATTTTACAATATATGTAAGAAACACAAACTTCTACCGTCTTGTTACCAGAGAGGGGCATCTCAAAATGCAAAAAAATAGCAAATTTTACTATTTTATAGAGTATTACAAAATATGACGTACACAATGGATTCACATGAAAACATAATAAAAATATTGGAGATATTCTCGAATTTCTATGTTTTAAATTTCAAGAGCGTATGTTTATTACTTTTTCTTTAATAATATTTTTATTACCCCTTTCTTTAAGAGCCATAGATTATTGTAATATGCATGGGGGTTGGACTTTAGAATATTGCATATTAATTAATCACAGGCTGATGGTGGAGTGTTTGTAAGTGAAGTAAAGTAGCATCCAGTTGTAAATCTATAAGAAATGTTTTATTGTTGATGTTATTTCATTATCTTATTGTTTACTTGAATTATTGATGCAATACACATTGCACTTCGACATTGTATTAATGTAAACAAATGCTGTTTTTGTGTTACTAGACGATCTAGCGAGATATTGTTGAACAGACAGTAAGGGACAGTGATACTGAGATGTTGTATGTCAGTTTTTCATCATTATCTACCATATTACGACTGTAATTTACTTACTTATTTCAGCATTATCACATGTGTTGTAAATTGGGCGCCTGCCATCTTTCTTACGAAGAAATTAGTCATGTGACATAAACATTGTTGTTTTACAATTGATAAGATCGAAATAACACTGTCCGTGTCCTCAAATATTCATAATTGATACTTAAATGTTATTTTATTGCAGTATTGTCATTTAATTATGCTGTATTTGACGAAATGTTTTGGAACTTGAATGTGTAGCGTAATACTTATGTGTTTGCATTATTGTTCGGTATTACTACGCCATGGATTGTGTGTGTCCGTTTTATTACAGATTGTTTGTTGAACTTGTTTTCTAATGTATATCGAATAAAATTTATAGCTCCCACTTTACATGTAGAAAGGACATTTTGAGCGATGTTATTTTCTTTGTATTACACAATATGTATGTAAAGTAGTTCTGAGAGACTCCAGAAAGGACAATTATTCATTGGTTGTTGTGATCACGTGACCATTTATGGAAGGTTATATATATGAGCAGCGAACGCCAGTTTCATCACGACGATCGTAACGATCAGATCATATTACGTCATCAACATCACTGACTGTAAATTACTAGTGACTTAGGTAAAAGAAAATAATGTAAACTAATACAAATTAAGTAGCGTATAATTTCTCCACCGCACGGACACCGCAATCCACTGTATTTTATTAGGCCAGAGATGTTAAGCTAGGACTTGTACTCTGACTGTTTTGTTATGTTTCATTGAAGTCTTTATTAAATGAAATATTTGAAACGAAAAATGGAACTTGGTTATGATTTACAAGGATGTGAAGTAAATTATCAAGGGTGTTTAAATACATGTGACGGGCTGAGGATGCCCCCCCCTTTTTTTATATGTGGACGGATGTCATGAGTAGTCCTGATAAAAATATAATTTTATAATTTATTGAATTTACACGGGATGGAAACATTGTAAGCTGATTGGCATTTGACAGGGTGCTGAGGAAGCTTACATTATCATAACGTCAAAAACACACTGCAACGACGTCAACCTACCTATCAATTGCAAAATCGGTTAAAAATCAGTTATATCAAATTGTAATTACATTTTTATACCTATAATTTCTTAATTTTGTTTAATTTTAATAATTAAGCGAAAAAAATTGCATTAAAACAGTAAATACGCTTCATTTTACTATGATGCGCGAAATATTGCGCAATGGAAACTATAGTCGGCCCCCTTAAGGCGAAACAATGCACGGACCTCCAAAACAGAGACGGGATCAGGGGCCATGGATGAGTGAACATCCCCTGTCGACCGGTCACATCCACCATGTGTTCCTTATCAGGATCGGGAAAACCAAGGGGAAACACGTGGATAATTCAGTGTGTAAATAATGGACCAACAATAAATATGAAAACGTCATGTTTGCGAAATTATGACTTTAATAGAGACAAGGGAGATTGTTAATTGGTATTCTTGCAGCCTTGCTTCATCAACTTGATTTTCAATTACTTGCCTCTTTTGAAAAAAATGTCATTGCAAATCGAATCATTTGAGAGACATGAACCTCATATATCTCGTACAGGTATTCAGGATAGAATGTTATATAACCATGGGAAAATGACAACTGGAAAATAAAAGTCATCACATAAATCATTAAGCTTGGTTGTAAGTTACCATTAACACTTTTTTTAGAATGCAAATTTGAAACAAATATGTCAGACTCTGTACTAGTATCATTTAATTAAAGCTCACCGGGATATATCGAGTCGACATTTGAATGGGAGTAACAATTGTTAATTGATGATACGTAGTCGATATATCCAAATGAAAACTTGAAGTCCACAACAAGTTTTTTTTCTTCTCTTTTAGAAATTTTTAAGTAAATTCTGTTGTATATAAATAGAGAAAAGTGTAACAACAGGATGAAAGAGGTGCCCATTGAAATTCCAACAGATTGTTGTCATTGTCATTGTCATTGTCATTGCTAAATAGATATTGTCAATAAGAAACTCAAGCACCCTATTAATATAAACTTCAGGGTACTTATGTACAATCAGAATGGTTTTTTTTCATAATTATTCAAATGACCAATGACAATTTAAATATATTAACAAGTTCTATTTTTATTAAAAATTATTATTAAGAACTAAAGATAAACTAAAATTCTCTAATTCAGATATAAATTGATCACATGCAGCGGCGGATAGGCTGATTAATTATAAATAATCATCAGCATACTTTAAACATATACCCCGCTTTATTGCTATTGGATATATTGATCAACCGATCATACCTTCACTTGCATATAATTTGATTACTATTCATCAATTATCGATATGTAATTGTGGAGATAATAACTATATCAGAAGGAAGCATTGTGTATTCTAATCAAGGCACACCACTGAGGATGAAAACATTGTACATGATCCTTATTAGACCTTTGACAACTGCAGACATGCACACATTTTTGTCCCAGAGAGAGGCATTATGCAGTTTTCAACCAGTTTAATGCAGCATTCGTAGATTCTATTTCCCTTGGTATCTGGTTAATGCATGTGCATGCCATAACGATGATCAATTTTGACAATGCTGGTTTGTAGATGATTTTTTTGTTGTTTCTTCCTTCTGTCAACATTCGCACTGCAAGCGAATTGAACGTGAAATCAAGATGTGTTTTTCTTTCATTAAGTTAAGGCGATTACTCTTCGCTGATCTCCCACTTGAACCTTTCTTATCGGTCAATGATTAAGAAATCAAAGATAAAATATTAGAAACAGCTCAACAAATATAAATTTTTAATAAGATTTAAAAACAGAACAAATATACTGGAGGCGCAGTAAGACAATGTAGGAATGTAGCCCCTTGTCTTGTGTCCCCGATAACAAGATGTTACAGAGAACCGTATTGATAAGCTCTCATCCAACACATTATAGAGTCGATGGAATTATCTCTATGATGATACTTTAAGTCAATACAATCCTCCGTTTCTAACCAGTCTTGGTGCAATTTGGTTGAAGTGAATGTATTTTTTTTTAATTTCCCTTGATGTTAACAAAGCTTGATGATGAAAAAAAACGTAATCCGTATGGGTATTCTCTTTGTAGTAATAGACGGAGTCATCTTCTGAAGAATTATATTATCGACAGATATCTTTAAGACAATAACTACCCTCTTACCTTCAATACTACATCAGTAAAATATCCTCATAAAGTGTCTTGATTAATTTTATCAAGGACATTGGTGATATATATAATCTCTGACACAATTCTCTAATGTAAAAAAAATGCAGGAAAAACGTGCTGCATGTAATCTCTAGATAATTTTGGAATGTATTTTTGTCGAGAGGAAGTGCATCCACATATTTCAAATTGTCTTCAACGATTTGAATAATTTTTTGTCAGAAGCATTTAGCACGTGCCGATGTTTATCAAATAGTAGAACGCGCGGGGCTTTTGTGGTAATCAATTCTATACCCTTTAATTGTAAATTCTAGAATTGCTTCCAAGTAATCTAACGAAATCTTATCCGCCCAGGAACCTGATGCCAATTTCTCTCTAAAACCACAGTGGCCTCCCCTTTCCATGGTCAGCATAAAAAAGTTTGGATAATACTTGAATAAGTCATGTGGAATGGAATTTTTGCTGTACACAGGGTCGTCTAAGCTGCATATAAATAACAGTGGGACTGATATATCGTCCACATCCCTTAAAGGGTTGTTTCTCTCGTAAAACTCCTCCATGTCTTCACAACCAAACATTTTCAAAAAAACATGACTGTCAAATTTTTTGAGTGACCATGAGGTTAGAGCACCGGGTACGTCTATGACATTACTAAGAGCCCGAGCATGTCTCCAAATAATGTATTTCATATACAGTAGTACGAATATGTTGTAAATCCCTGAGAAAATGTCAGATGAGCGTTGATTCATTTCAAAACAAGGTGAGACACAGACTCCCGCGCAAATGTGAGCAGACGACCCGAATTCACCGAGATAAGACAGAAATAAGTCACACCCAGACCCGAATGATACAACTGTTATAAGTGTTTTAGGACATCTGTCGTGAATATAAATTATAACCTGCCGAAGATCAGAGGGGTCTCCATAACTTTGTAATTTAGGGGTGGTCAGAAACGTTCCTCCGTGACCTCTTCTGTTGAAAACAACGCATTGCATTCCTCTGCAAGACGCAGCGTCACATAACGACGAGACGCTCAGTGCGTCACCGGTTAGTCCAGGAATGATAAGGATTACTGTCCTTTTCTTCTTCTTTGGGAGGTTAACATTTGTCACCCAATCCAGTGCCACGACCCCTTTATCTCTCAACTGAAGGTATTCTCTGTCAAACTGACACTTGCAGTTATGTGGAATTATCCATGGAAGCAGAGTTTGAATGTGACAATTCTTAATCCAAGGCGATGGCGAAAACGTCCGAGTCATGAACCTACACCTTTTAAGTATATGAGTCGCTAAAGTTGATTCCTTGTAGAAAAGTTTGGGAAGTATTTCCTTAGAACTTACAAAACTTTTTAAGTAGACAAACAAACTTAACACCAAGGTCCCGACAATAGCAATGTAAAACGGCAGCCACAGTACCGTGTAGAGAGCCAGCATTACGTAAGAAAAATAAGCACTCTTCTCCGGAGCTCTTACCACAGCCGCTCCGTGAACGTTCTGCCTGCTGTTAAAGGGGCTATGAATTATATATTGGTTATCATTTGGTCGTGGTGTCAATCCTTTCCTCCCCGCTTCTCTCATGACAGTTTCCGCGATCATTGGTTTAGGCCGGGATCAATCATGAGTTATCCCTTTCTTTTATTCCATTCACTCGGAGAATAGATTACCAACTAGAATGTAAAGTCCATCACCGAACCATCAATCTCACTGGACAGAATAATCCCGAGATTTTATCTACAATTCCTAGAGTTGTTAATGAGTGACACAATTACAAATTTATCACTGCTTTCCGTATTAAGTTGTTAGGAGAACTTTTTCCATTAATGAGGTAGCTCCCGTGCTCGCGGTCTCGCGGGACTTGGTGGTAATGACGGTTTACTTCTGTTCGGTTGTCCCTCACCAATCACCACAGCGAACTAGGTGTGTGATTTACCGCTCTCTGCTGCAGACGATATTTATCTTATCAAAATTCAATAATTTTGCAAAGCGATAAGTTTGTTAAAATGCTATCCAAAGACGGCGTGTGCTGCTACTAAACACTTATTAGCACTTATATCAAATTCTTGCGCTGTTTGCATAAGTAAATCTCTGTAGATCGTAAACATTCCGAATGTAACTTCTGTTTGCTTTTAAAAGATAGCTTCTTATTTATGAAGAAATTCTTGAATAAATGAAAGAAAAAAGTGATGATTCAGATGAAGCTAATTTGTATGGAGGAAAAAAAGCCCAATAGCGTGACAGAGCTACTAAGAAGATCTGTTTGCGTCAATACATGTATCTTTTTGTGTCTCTAGAATTTCCTGGGGGACCATGCAAATTTATGAAACAAGTAATGTCGAAAAACTGCCCGAAGACTGCATGGAGGGAGAACACGCATCTCATAAAAAGTGGTCACATCATAAAACCACTTAGAAATCTTAAACGTTAAATTGAATCAATACAAAAAATAGTTAAGATAATAATGTAATTTAACCAATTGTTCAACCAACGAATAATAACCTGCTGTCAAATTATCGTTAAGAAAATTGTTTCGATTTGATGAGGGTTGATTAGTTACCGAGATTTACAGTACCCTACTTCTATTATAAGAGCTCAGCATGTTTATCTATTTTGTATTCGTTATTAATTGTATAATACCCTGTTCACGATTCTTAATGGTGATTGAACACTGTTCGTTATCTCCACATTTTAATGTAAATGTTTTAAAGAAACAGAAATTTAACTGTGTTTTACAAATTATAATAAGCAAATTATTTAAAATGTATCAGAAATAAAATTGATACTTGGAAAACACACCTGCTGTATACTAGTATTAAAAATTAAATAAATGAAAGGAATTCGTGATTAATTTTAAAAAGACATCAATTTTGTCGCGAAAAACCATTCACATTTAGCCCCCCCCCCCCCCCCAAAAAAAAATTGAAGTTTTGATATCTAAGAAATACACCTGCTGTATACTAGTATTAAGAATTAATTAAATGAAAGGAATTCGTAATGAATTAAAAAAAACATCCATTTTGTAGCGAAAAATGATTCACATTTAGCCTAAAAATAATTAAAGTTTTGATCTCTAAGAAATTTTATTTGTATTTGAGAGATTTATGTCGTCTCCTCTGGTAATCTGATGCAGGACAGGTTGAATGTATGGCAGTATGAGCAGCTGTTACAACAGGACGACAGGTGCGCGTGTATTCACATGGTTTATTTAAGTACAACTTTTAAAAAAATATTCATGCTATGTAATGTTATTTCTTTTTCTAAATGATTTGTACTTTGTTTTCTACTTTATGCCTGGATTAGTAATTGTTTCAAATCTCTTCTAAAAATACTTTGGTCCAATATCTTTAAGTTATTTAAAAAAAAAAGAAAAAGTATTTAAAATGTTGATAATACTAAAATTATGTGTTAATGAACATCTTCTCTAAATACGTCAATAATAAAAATGAGTGTAAAACATTTTATAAATTTATTTCATTCTGCCTTTTGATATTTATTTCAAAAATTGACCTGTTCGTTTATATACATTAACTTCATGTTCCTATATTGTATGATAATGTTATTTGATAAAATATACAGATTATTTGGCTTTAAAGTCCATTAAAATCAATTCAAATTGGGATCCCTCTAAAACCTCAGAGTTGGGATCAGATACACTGTAGGAGTAAGTTTTCCTGGTGCTCCTTGACAAGATCGGACAAACGGGAAAATTATAGACTTTTTAGTGTGAAAATAATGATCTATCAATTCAGTTTGTTTGAAAAAAATCTAACAATATCGAATTAATGATAGATTTTTTTACTGACAAGGCCATAGACCATAAAATTTGTGAAATAAGACTTTAAACGAGATTGGTGACCCCTTTATCACCAACTTATTGATCAATAGCTTGCCCTGTTTTAGAATTGTTGGTACCAAAAATAAAAAAAAATAATAAACCCATATAGCATTCTCTTAAGTATTAATTCAGTTGGGAGACAAAATTCTCCAAGCAAATGCAACTGGTAATAGTATACATGGGTTTATATTACACGTATTACGTTTTTGTTATTGGTTACTATTAAACCATTAACCACGTTTTTGCTATTAAAATACAGTATCTTAATATGAAACAGATGTGTCGGACGTTGTGGCGTCTTTTATTTCGAAAGCGATAGGTCGAATCAACGTAGGAATAAAATGAATACTATCAATTGATAAATCTAAATATTGAATTACAGTTATATATATCGACGAAGTATTGTCAATTAACAATAGTAATTAGTTTCCATTCTTATGTCCATACGATATATCCTGGTGAGCTTGAGATAAAAGATACCAAAGATTCTGACACATCTGTTTCATATTTGGATATTTTATTTGAAAAAGACGTTAATGGATTGGTAATTTAACAATCAAGCTCTATGATAAACGTGATGACTTAAACTTTTCCAACGTCAACTTCCCTTACCTATGCAGCAATATACCTTCATCACCTGCATACGGAGTTTATATATATCAGTTGATCGATACGCAAGAGCATGCACTACGTATGAGCACTTTCTAAAACGAGGTAAATAATTGACAAATAAGTTGATGAAACAAGAATTTCAGCAGTCTTGATAAAGTCATCATTACGTAAGTTCTATAGTCGATACAATGACCTTGTCAGCAAAAACATTTTATCATTGAGTTAAATGCTGACTTGTTTTTTTTTTTTCATGCGAATTTTTAGTCCATTATTTAAATACTGAATTGACGACGAATTTTTTTCCCCGATCATGACGAGGAATACACGGCGGGTGTGATTGGTCAGCAGGGGATGCTTACTCCTCCATGGTACCTCATCCCACCTCCGATGTTTTGGATGTCCGTGTTTGCTCTGCTCCTATTTTGTATAGATAGTTTTCAGTAGACCCAAATTAGCAAGAGTTATTTCCCGTTGGCCGCCATATTGGGGGTCAACCTGGTATTTTTCCCTCTGTGTCCTACCAAATATAAGAGGGTTTAGCTGTAATATTTTGGGGAAATCTTTATGGAATAAAAATTATGAAATAAAGGAGGCTCTATCACATATATATTTTAAAGAAAAACAATGTTTCACACCCCACAATTGCCAGTGTAAAAATTTTCAGTTGGTTGAACAATGAAGGAAATAAGCATTTTGACCCCAATGTAGCGGCCAACTGGAAACAACTTTTGTTAATCTGGGTCTACTGAAAACTATCTATTGATTAATGGCCTTCTGATCTTGAATACTGTTAGTTATCTCCATATGTTTCATTGAAAGTGACAACAAGAGATCCCCTTTTCATGAAGAAATCTTAAAAAATTTTTTTAATAAAAAGAAATTTTGCTTTATATGCAGACAGAAATATGTCTGCTAATAATGGGATGCAATAGGTACAAATGGTTATTGGTCTACAAAAATATCATAGATACTTGTCAATCAAAAACTCAAACATCTTTTTTAATTCTTAATTTCAACTTTGAATATCTGAATGTACAATCAATCTTTATAAGGATAAGGATACAATTAAAAGGCAACTGATTTCCAAAAATCTACAAACAATTTAAGTCCAGGAAAGAGTCGGTTTAAAACAAACCTTCGGATAATCCAGAGGTGGGATCAGGTGCCTAGGAGGAGTGAGCATCCCCTGTTGACCGGTCACACACGTCGTGAGCCCTGTATATTGATCAGGTAGATAGAACATGTTGTAGTTAGATTATTTATAAACGCAAAGGCCTAACACTTGATGTGAAACGCGTCGGCCAAAATACAATCCAATGATAAGTTTCATGTATGTTTGTTTTGATCCAAGCAATTGCTTCATTTAAAAATGTAAATGAAGTGCAATAAGATTTTCCTTTTCGATATGTCAATTTCTTCTCAACAGCAAAAGGCTGTATTCTAAATATTGAACTCTTTGATTTAAAGAAACAGAAATTGAAATACATGCTTGACATTTTTGCTGTATTCCTTTACTTTTTTCCTTACCTAACAATTATATCCTATTATTTTAAGTAAGGATTTCGAAAAACATTTCAAGAGACGGAAAAATGTATGCTTTTATTTATATAGCAAGAAAATTCTTTTTCTAGTCTTAAAAATCATTGAAATCCTGATTTTCTAAGATATGAAAATGTACATTGGGAAATCTTGATATTTTAGGTAGCATCATTCTGAGGAATGCATGCGAGATTCCTCAGTAAGCACAGGGCTTGTTAAGATATAGAATTCATGGGGGTCGTAAACATGACAGTTTCCACACAGGCTCTGTTAATCTGTGTTAATCTAATCACGTGAACTAAAGAATTGAAGATTAATTTCCTGTATTTCGGTGGAGAGGCAAACCCCAAGGAATGTGGCTTATGTGTTTGTCGACAGCTGTGCGAAGTGAAAAGGTTGAGTTATATCACCTACCTGATTGATAGAGAAAGTTATAGCCCAGTCGCGCCGAATTACGGTCGGAAGTTAAATATATCTCTCAATTTCAAAGCTTGTTTAAGATAACTGGTAAGTAGGAAGCAGGGACAAGAGGAGAACTATTTAGAAATGTACTTGGTTCTTTGTTATTTTTGTTTTTCCATTTGCTAAAAGTGCGTTTTGGAGGATTAATTGATTGTAGGAAGACCTGTTATCTGCGTTTTATTGCTTTGTTTTAACATGACACTTTTCTACAAAAAGTACTATGTGTAGAACATTTTAATTAGCCCTTAAAATGAAAATGGGCAATTAAAAAAAAATCTGTTTTCCTACCTTAACCTAAGATTTTTTCAAGTTACTTTTAGTGTTAGCTTATGCACTGTCACAAAATTTCTTTTCTGTGGTTGTGTTAAAATTGTTTCTTAATTTTTTTGTCTTCTATTGAATAATGTTGAGTAATCTTTGAATAATGACCCTTGGTAAGGCTATAGATTTCTTTGTAACCTTTTCCCCTACATGAATGATACGTTAACTTTGTTTATTTGTTTAGCGTTCCTTTCGAGA